TTTTGAGAACCAATCTTGGCCATTAATTTGAATCAAAAGGATCCCAACCATTAGTTCAAAGTTTATATTATGACTTGAAAAGTTGGTAGCTAAAGGCTGGTTAAGTTAGCTACTTTAGAACAACGCCACAATAGATGTAGGGCTAATTAGCCACCAAGACCTACTTTGAGGTGGAGTACAATGTCAAGTTATCAAAGGGGTATATGGTTTGCTCGGTTTAGTAGGGGAAAAGAAACATTAAATGGTCCTAAAAAATACCCACTTGAGCAGCTTTTTTAGATAAAAAAAAAAAGATGATGAATAATAATCAGACAACGTGTTATATATATATATATGTATCATTTTGGCTTTGGGGTTTTAATTTAGGGGTTTGGGTAAAGTTTAATTTAGTCATTTAGCTTATAATTGCTTTCAATTGTATCCCTAACTGGCATTAAACTTCTGATTTTATACAGTTTTATCCTTTTCAAACTTCAATATCAATATAAAGTTTCAATACCTTTTTTATTATGGTCCCGGGTCTTGGATTTATACAAATTAACTATTAAATTTTTAATTTTCATCAATTTCACCCTCGATTTCAATTAATTAAGCTCCTAGAGTTCAACACCTTTTTAAAAAAGGTTTTTGGCTGTAAATTCTTTCAATGTAACCCTCTAATTGACCACAAAACTTTGATTTTCTTGTTATTTTACCCCTAATTTGAATCAATTGACTTTGTAAAAATTAACTTTAGTCATCTAAAATTTTAATATTCTTAATTAAGCTCAAATTGGGCTCTCAAACTTAATTTTTTACCAATTAAGTCCTTAATAAAATTAATTTGATCCTTTCAAAGTATAATTAAGTCTTTGCACTTAATTAAATCCTTTAATTTAACTCAAATTAATTCTTAAATATAATTAAACTTTCGTTTGATCCATTAATAAATCAAATTAATTTATTAAAAATTTAATTATATCCCTAGACTTAATTTTATACAAATTTAATTATATCCCTAAACTTAATTTTATATAGATTCTTCCAATAATCATTTAATTTGATCCAGAGTTTAAATTATACTCTAAATTTATTCAAAATTTCACCTTGAATTTTTTGTATATACCTAGGATCTTCTTCAACAAGCTTTTACCACATTACCGATATTCATGTTATTTTAATATCTTCTTACAAGAAAAGAAAAGAAGAAAATTTTGAGAAATAACTAAGAAATGAGTTGTGAAAACAGTTCTCATTTAGGGTCATGTTTGTTTCCCGGAACATAGTTTCCAGAAAACCATTTTCCAAACTTTCCTGT